GATTTTCCAGCGTATATACGCTGTTTCATCAGCTGCATACTCTGGGCTGGTGAATCAGCGACTTTTCGCTGATTCAAATTTAGAGAGTAAGTTTCATATTTTTAAGTAATAATGGAAAATTTTGAATATCATACCTGATATTTAAATAACCTAGTGCAGATAATTGCCTTATTAAGCGTTAATAGTATAGTATAGTATATATTATATATATATATATAAATATATATATGATATGTAAAAATAAAAAAATAAATAAAAATATGTTTTTCTTAAAGAAAAAACATTACATCATTCTATCACATCTATAACTTGTACGGATGATGGCAGAAAGCAAGTATCAGTTTGTCGAGCACACCATGTCAGTGGTGTCCCCATCGAAAAATTGTTCATAATATTAATATATTTTAAATATTATTGTGTCTCGTTTTCAGTTATTAGACGTACTTTGAATACCGCAACGATTTTAGCTTAAAAATAAAGTCTTTCTTTTTCGAAAGTAAAAATTAAGCAAAATGTCAGTGGTGTCCCTTGTCAGTGGTGTCCCCTCAAAATTCTGTTTCTTGCATCTTATTATTTTATTTTTAATAAATTTGTGTTAAATTTACTCCTTATATGCAGTTAATGAAGATTTGATACTGGATTGTAATTTATAAGCTGATTTTATTCTCACTATTCAAAAAAAATTATCAGTAAAATCTTTCAAAAATGTCAGTGGTGTCCCTCAATGTTCATATGTTTTTTTGGTCTTCAAAAGTATATAATTTATGGCAGAACTCATTACAAATATTTTTTAAGTCATGTTGAAACATTTATTATTGTAATTTGAAATATTTTAACTTTTTAAAGTTGTAAGAATTTATTTCAGAAAAGAATAAACGAAAACATAAAATTTCTTATCATTTCTGCCTATCGTTTTTCACAACATCGAAAAATCAAAGTTAGTAAGATCAAAAATGACATTTTAATTGTAATCACCCATATATTCATATATAGAACTTTAACATGTGACAGACGTGTCCAAATTCAAAAAATCAAAAAGTTTTTTGAAGAAGAGACAATTCGGAACCACAATTATCTATAAAATCTTTGTCTAAAAAATTTTTAGTAACGAAAAATCAGCAGTCTTCTGAATCAAAGCTTCCACATTAAGATAATAATTTTTTCAAGTTTCCGACTATCTGTATAAGAGATAATTCGAAAAGTGGATCAGGTACCATTTATCGGTTTGAAAATTTGGAATCTGTAAGTCATTTGGAACAACTCCCCACCAAGTTTGTAGCGTTACATTTTAGAATAACCTGCCGACCTGTGTGGGGTCGCTGATTACGAATATGGCATAATTTTTTTTTAAATTAAAAATGGTGGATGCAATATGGTAGACGAAAAAAAAATTAAAATAAAAAAATTTTCTTTTTTGACATGTTGGATCCGCCATTTTGAATTTTGAAAATTTGATATCTAATTTGTGATCAGCAACACCAAATACATTTTTGTTTGTCTTTTTTAAAAAATGCAAATAAGAAAACATTTAAATTATTCGATTGCTTAACCGCATACAAAAACATCTTTGACATGGCGAAGAATAAGGATGTATAACTTTTGTTGTCAAGAATTGTTGTCAAGTATTCTTGACACTATAAGAAATCCGAAAATAAAAACAAAAAGAAAATCAATTTTTTTGACATTTTGAACTGGAATGTCCCATTAAAAAATAATAAGTCTTTAAAGGCCAAATTAAACATGAAAATTAGCTTCTAATTTTTAAAAATTCAATATTTTCAGTATTTTTAATTTATATTTCCAAATAATCTAAATAGGGTAAGTGCGGGTTTAGTCGGACAGTACTAGTAGTCGGACACTTTCGTGTTTTTTGGCAAATAAATAATAATGCATTGTGATAATTACTTTTAAAAATATACTGGACGAATGTGTAAAGTTTATATTTTATGAAATTAGTGTTATTTTACAAAATAATTAAACAAGAAATATTTTATTTAATATTTTAAAAATCATGGTGTCCGACTATAGATACAACCATTTTCGAGTAGCGCAATGAGTAGCACAAAGTTTTGTTGATAATTATTCATAAATATTAAAACTTATAGGATTTAAATATTATATAAATAACTTCTAATTTGCTTTAATTCCATTTTCCAGCAGACAGCAATTAAAAAATTATCTGTTTTACTTTATAAATCCAAAATATCTGACAGATGTCCGACAATAGAAACCTCAATATCTCGTTCTGAGATATTGAGGCAAATGTAATGTTAGTATACACACACACATCGGGACATTTTTCTAAAATCCATTTTTTGGACTTCTGAGATGAAATTACATCAAAATTTTTTTTATTTATTTATAAGATTTATACGGGCAATGCCCATTCGTGCATAAAGTACTAAAAGATTAGGTATAATGAAAAAAAGTTTTTAAATATGTCAAAAAAAAACAATCGAAAATTTTGCTAATACAATCCTTCCTCCATGAGGAAGCAATACGAAAATAGTAAAAGAAAATATAATCAAAAAATACTAAAATAGAAAAGGAGGTATAAAAATTCTAAAATGCTGAAAAATATAGCAAAATTGCAGATCTTACGAATTTTAAAAAACACTGAATTGCCCGTAAATTATTGCAAATAAATAAATAAAAAAGTTAGAAAAAAATTTTAAATTGACTTAAATAATAAAAACATACAATAAAAGCATGCTATGTTATTTATTTTATAAATTTAGTATTTTTGAATTTTTTTTCTTGCAAGAAAGAAAATCAAAAAATATTGAAAATGAAAAAAATTGTACAAAATACTAAAGTTGTGAAAAATATATATACTACAAACAGATGAGTTTATGAATTTTAAAAATCACGGAATTGTCCGAATATTTCAAATAAATAAAAGGGTTAGAAAAAATTTCAAATTGTCATAAATATTAAGAAAAATCAAAAAATTACTATAAAATGTAAAAAAAAGTCCAAAGATACTAAAATTGCAGAAGTTTTTGAATTTTTATAGATCACGGATTTGTCCGTAAATAACAAAATAAATAAATAAATACAAATGTTAGGAAAAAATTCCAAAAAGTCTTAAATAATAAAAAATATCAAAAAAATACTGAAATATAAAAAAAGATCTAAACATACTAAAATAACAGACTTTTATAAATTTTTACAGACAAAGCAAGAAAAAAATTCCAAAAATACTGAAAAGGGAGCGATCACAAATAATGTCACATTTTTGGGGGTAGTGGGGGGTGGGTCTCTACTAAACGTTACACAATGTATTTTTTAAATCTGAAATTGCATGAAACGAAAAAAATTGTACAAAATACAAAATTGTGAAAAAGTTACACTAAAATTTCAAATTTCATTAATTTTAAAATTCACGGAATTACCCTAAAATTACATACATCATAGTAAGAAAAAGATTTAAAAAATTCTGGAATAGAAGAGCGTACTAAAATTGCATATTTAAACAATTTTAAAAGCACGGATTGCCCGAAAATTGCAGTTTCTATTAATTTTAAAAATTACGGAATTACCCGAAAATTGCATATAAAATATAGAATAAATGTTCCAAAAGTTCTTAAACCGAAACTCGTTCTAAAATTGCAGATTTTATTAATTTTAAAAATCACGGAATTGCCCAAGAATTGCATATAGAATAGAAAAAAAAATAATTCAATAATTCTGAAATAGAAATACGCGTACGATATTTGCAGATTTAAAAAATTTTTAAAATCGCAGAATTGCCCGAAAATTGCAGTTTTTATTACTTTTAACAATCACGAAATTTGACCGTAAATTGCATATAAAATAATAATAAAATTCTCAAATAAAAACACGTAGTAAAATTGCACATTTTATTAATAATTTTAAAAATTACGGAATTGCCCCAAAATTGGATATAAAATAATTAGAAAAAATATCCCAAAAATTCCGAAATACAAACGCGTACTAAAATTGCAAATTTTATTCAATTTAAAACTCACGAAATTGCTAGTAAATTACATATGTGTATAAAATAGTTTTAAAACATTCAAAAATTTCCAAAATAGAAATAAATGTCCAAACCTACTAAAAATGACAGATTTTACAAAATTTACAAAGCATCGATTAACCCTCAAATTGAAAATTAAACAGAATAGTAAAAAAAAATTCCAAAATACAAAAACATTACTAAAAGTATAATTCCAAAATACAAAAATACTAAAAATAGAAAATAAAAATGCTAAAAACAAAAAAATTCCAATCTCCAATACGCAAAAAAAAAAAAAAAATAAACACAAAAAGAACCGCGCTTTTAGAAACCACGTGCGTAGAGAGCGAGGAATCTATAATAGTAAACACAATTGCGTGAACATCAGTGACAACAAGGAATTGCGAACAGTGCTAGAAAGAAATAGAAAATGGTACATACGTACTATATATATGTATATACACACAGAGTGGTGAATGCTGGGTACATATCTGTTTTACTAGGGTGTTCCAACGGGGGGAGGGGGATTTCGGATGACGCTCCCCCCTATCGTAATAGCGGGGGGGATGCGTAAAGCAGTACGAAAAGGGTGGTTAAAAAGGGGTCGACAGAGCGAAAGGTGAGGGGAGCGCGGCAAAAGGGAATATTCCCCCACCTCTCGGGGGGAAACTCTCGCCACTAGGGCACCGAGTAGGGCACGGATAGGGTACAACCAGGGCACTGTGAGAGCTTTCAAGGACGATTCTCACATCTATATGGGTTTTTTTCATTTTTTTCTTTTCGCTCTTCTCCCTAGGTTTGTGTGAGTAGGGGATCGGAGGGATAAAGGCGAGTGAGCGAGGGGAAGGGCGCGGGGGACAAGAGTTGGTTAGCGTGTGCCGATTGGTTGACGCGCGTGGTTGTGTGTGCTTGCGAACCGCACAACCTGGGGTTGTGGATGAGTGTGTATGGAGAGTTGTACTCTAGAAAAAAAGTGGTGGGGGGTGTGTTAGAGCGCGCACAGCTGATGCAGCGCGACCACAGTTTTCAAACTCGGTTGGTGTGTGCGTATACACTGCAATCGTCTTCCCGTGAGCGAATCAGTAGCACACGAGCGCTCGTTCAGCGAGCATCGTAACCGAGGCTCGAGTGGAAATGTCACCTCGTGAACGTCGTCTCATCGTGAGAGTTTTATCATTATAATAATTTTTGTCGAAAAAGAAAATAAGAGGACAAGAAGATAGAAAAAATTTTTGCAATATTTTTAAAGGAAATTTTTTTTCTCTAAAAGTGTGTTCGCTATTATAGTGTGCAAAAAAATACGAGTATCGCGAAAAAAAATATTTTTTTTTTGCAAAATACTTTTCGTGTTGTTCTCTTGGAAAGAGAAAAAGCGCGAATTGTTTTTTTTTCCTTAAGTGTGGTGTTATTTTTTTTTTTGGAGCTCTGATTTTTTGCCAAAAAAAAGTGCAGTGTCTCGAGGGGGAGAAAATTTGTTACGTTTCTTCCAATCGGTGAAAAAAGATTTTTTTTTTTTGAAAATGGTGCCGCAACAACAAGACAGCCCTTCGAGTTCGGGGATGCCGTTATTCGGATCGCTACTGGTGGATAAAAATTCATCCACACCTTATTCGGATGCAACGCAGGTAAAGAGATATTTCTCACTTGCTGGCAAAAGTAAAAGAGATTTATCTTTTTTGAGAGAGAAAAAAAAAGTGTCTTTTTGATCTTGTCAACGATATAGAGGAAAATGCGGTTGAAAAAAAACACGTGCGACGACAATATAACTACTTTGACATGTCTTGTCAATGAAATATCGAACCTGTTGATTTTTCCCCAACTATTTTCGAGTCGTTTTTCACGCCCTTTCCGGAATTTTCCAATATTTTTCTCTTTCTTTTTGAGAATTTTTCACTTTTTCTAAATTTCTTCAAATCAACTTCCTCAAATTTTCAATTCAAATTTGAATTCGAACGTTAATTCAAATTTCAATTCCATTTCTATTTTATTTTAATTCGAAATTCAATTCAAATTTTAATTTGAATTTTAATTTCATTCAAATTTAAATTCAATTTCAAATTTCCCAAAAATTATTCATTTCCATTAGAAATTTTTGAAAAAAATCGACTATTTGAAATTAAATTAGTAAAAAATTGGTAAAAACCCGAAAGTGGAAATAAATAAACAAAAAAAATAGGAAGAAAATAAAACAAGAAACAAGAATCAAAAAGTGAAAATTAAGTGATTTACAAGAATTGTACTAAAAAGGGTAAAATTTTCGAGCATCGGGAAATTCCGTGACATGAAAAATCAATAACGAAAAAAAATGTGACAAATTGAAGAATTAGTTGAAAGTTTATTATTTTATGACTAAAAAAAATTTTTACAACTAAAAATACTTTTTCACAAAAAAAAAATTATAATTGAAAAATACTTTTTAAAAACTAAAAAATACTTTTTTGAAAACAAATTAAAAATTTGAAATGTTAAAAATTGAAAATTAACTTAAAAATAATTAAAAGAACAAGAAATCTATTTAAAAACACAAGAAAATAAAATTGTGAAAAAACTAAAAATGTGAATCGTAAAACTAAAACCAAAACCTTAAAACCTTCTACTAAAAAATTCAAAATAAAATTTGTTTAAAAATAAGAAAATTTAACCCGGAAAAAGTAAAAACTTTGATAATTTCTCAATTCTTTAAAAACAATTAAAATAAAAAATATTTTTTTCAACTCCAACTTTAAAAAGTTTCATTTCTTTCTAAAAAAGTGAATTTTACCAAAAATTTCAAGTATCAAAAGTTCAATGACTCCGCCGGTGATAAAGATTCAAATATTGTAAAAGTGAAAAAGCGTTAACACGTACGATAAAGTTAATTCATTTTTAATGGTAGTTTTAGACAATTTTTCACACCTCTAAATGATTTTGTGGCTAAAAATATAAAAAATACCAGCTATTTTTAGTATTATATTCGATTATATATAAATTTATCATTATCATTTAAAAAGTGTCACCAAAGGCAAATAAATGTTGAAACTAAGTAGATTGCCTCAATAAAAGTTATTGACGATAACAGAATTTTTCACATTCGCGGTTTTGAGCGATAAAATAAATTAAAAGAGAAAAAATACATTTTCATTTTTTCCAAAATTTTTGTCTTTAAAACTTATTACAATTTTCATTCAAATGTTCTTGAATTTTCATTTTAAACTTTAGCGTTAAACATTTTTCAAATTTACTCTAAAAAATTTTTCAAAAATTCACTTTTCAACATTTTTTGAAACTTAGAATTTTTTGCAATGCTTCCAAAATTTTCCAAATTTACTTTTTTAATATTTTGCAAATGTTTAAAAAATTTTTCAAATTTTCTTTTAGAATTTTTTGTCATTATTTTTGAAATTTTTCAAATTTCCATTCATTTTTTTATTATACCCAAAAAATACAGAGGAATTTTCAAACTTTGTTAACTTTTTTTCGAAATAAATTTTTACTGTAATATTATTCAAACATTAACATATAAAATATATAATAAAAAAAGAGCGAACGATAAGAAAATAAAGAGAAAAATTTCATTGGGAAAAAATACGAGAGGAAAAAAGAAAAGAAAAGTGTTTGGCATTAATGTTTTTTCAACGAATTAGAAACAGTGAAACATTTTTTAAACATCCTGGAATGGTGTTAATTCGATTTGACATTCAAATGATCATAAACCGCGAGAGCATAAACAATTTTTAGTATTCTTCTCACATCGATTACGCATTTTTATTTATTTTCTTTTCAATGTTTGCCTCGAGTCTTTTTTTTTTCTTTGAAAAATTTGTAACTTAATTTTTTTCTAAAGCAGTGAAAACTAACAGACTAAAATTTTTCGAAATTATATAAGAAACTCATAAAATGAAATTGAAAAATATACCCAGATAACTGAAATAAGAATAAATTAAAAATAAATTAAAAAAACAAACAAAAAAGGAAAAAATAAATATAAAAAATAAGTAGACAAGAGAAATAAACTAAACAAATAAATAAACAAGAAAAATATACTAAAGAAATAAATAAACAAAAAAAGTTATTATAATTATTAATACTTAATAAAAATTAAATATTTTTGTAAATTAACAGCAAAAAATACAAAACCACCACCAAAATAACAAATTTAATATAAAATTAACAAAAATTGTTAATAAAACGCTGATAATTTATTCAAAAAAGAAATAATTTAAAAATTTCCCTAAAAACAAATATTTTTTTCTAAAAACATTGAGAATAAAAATGAAGCTTTCGTCCAGACCGGTTTCAAAAGGGCAACGAACAAATAATCCCTCGATAATTGTATCAAATCGTTAGAGTAAACTAATCATTTCTTCCAACGCTGTATTTAATTAAAACAATTTGTTTTAAATTTTTTTTCTCATTCCTACTCTTTCTCTTTTAAATCGACTCTAATCGCATTACAACTTCCGCAACAAGTTCAATAATCAGTTTAAAAATAAAATTCCACAAATGCATGCAAAAGCAGAAAAAAAATTCGACTTTTATCGTGAAAACCAAAGGGAAAATATTTTCAAGTGTAAATAAAGTGTGAAAAGTGCAAAAAAGTGATAAAAAGTAACAAAAAATAATTAAAAAAGTAAAATTTTAATGAAAATTAAAAAAAAAGCTTAAACTGAAAAATAATTTTTAAAAGTAAATAAATATAAAGTGAGTTATTTTTAAAAGTAAAAAGACATTTTATTAAAAAAACTTTTAAATGTAAATAAATATAAAGTGAGTTTTTTTTAAAGTAAAAAAATTTTTAGTAAATAACTTTTAAAAGTAAATAAATTTAAACTAAATAATTATTAAAGGTAAATAAATTTAAACTAAATAATTCTTAAAGGTAAACAAATTTAAACTAAATAATTCTTAAAAGTGCGTAATTTTTAACTAAATAAATTTTAACAGAGAAATAATTTTCAACTAAATAAATTTTAAATCCAAGCTATTTTCAAAATTGAGTAAAATTAAAAACAAAAATTTTCAGTAAATAAATTTTAACTACAAAATAATTTTTAATAAATACATTTTGTCTACAAAATAATTTTTAAAACTGAATAATTTTCATCTAAATAAATTTTAACTGCAAAATAATTTTTAAAAGTGAATAATTTTCAACCAAATAAATTTTAACTGCAAAATAACTTTTAAAAGTGAATAATTTAAAAAGTAAATAAATTTTAACTTCAAATTAATTAATTAATTAATTAATTTTAATATGTAACAAATTTTTCTAAAAATTACCAAGAATCAAAAAAGCGAATAAATAATGGACAAAAATTATTTAAAAATTAAAAGCAAATAAACAAAAAAAAAATCGGAAAGAAAAATAAAAACCACGTGTGAGGAAAATGACCTATTTTTTCCCACTCAGAAACCGCAAAACTTGCATTCGCATTGACCTCGAAAAATTATTGGATTATTTATTCATCGATAAAAGCCCTCGAGTTTCAAATATTTACGCTCAGACAAAAATATAATTATAGAATCAATTCAAAAATAAAGATCTCTGTATATATAATAATGAGAATCTTAAAAATCAAAACGCAAAAAAAGATAGTGCGCACAAATAATTTCTCCGATCCTCAAAAAAAAGAAGAAAAAGCCATTTTTTCAAATTCCTTGTAAAATTATTATCGACTCCGCAGTAAAGTTTACACTTCATAGAATTCACTCTGGGGTCGTCCATATACCACGTGGACAGTTTAGGGGGGAGGGGGGATTCGCCAAAAATCCACGAGGGGGAGGGGGGGTTAATACAAATGTCCACGTGGACACAAAAGTTTAATTTTATATCTTTTTTAGGGTTTCGTGGCCAAGGGTTAAAACCCTTATAGCGAGACTTCGGTGTCCGTCCGTAGTTTTTACGTCTTAAGTCTTAAGTCTTATATAACGAGACTTTGGTATAAGAAAGTCTTAAGTCCTAAGACTTAAGACTTAACTTTCAGTATAAGAAGGTCTTAAGTTCTAAGACTTAAGACTTAACTTCGGTATAAGAAGGTCTTAAGTCCTAAGTCTTAAGTCTTAAGACAACATAACAACCGTTGCCATGGTAACCGTTGCTATGTTAATGGTTGACATAACAACCGTTGATATAGTAATGGTTGCCATTACAACCGTTGCCATGGCAACCGTTACTATGATAATAAAAAAAATTTCAATCTTAAGTACAAAAAAATTTCTAAATAAATTATTATTTATTTATTTTTTTGTCATTTTAGGCCACGAAACCCTATGATGTAGGCGCATTGCGCCTGCTTCTCTGACTGATTTTTTTCTTTTTATTCAACTTTATTATTAGATTATTATTAGATTGTGATCAGACAAAATCATTATCGTAAATGCACAAATATGAATATATGCAAATTTGACAATTATAGGAATACAAAGCAACCTCTACAAACTCTTACAAATTCTAAAAAAAATAATTTCTATTATTGTTTATGTGAAGGCTTAAAGCTATTGGATTTTAGAAAATTTAAGATTTGTTACCGAAGAGATTAAGTATTTCTACTAATATAATAATTGAAGATATATTGCTGCCAAAGTCCTCTCCATAATACTAAAAATGGTATTTACCTATTTAATAATATTTTAAAATAATTTAATC